GGATGAGTAAATCGGTTGCAGAAGTGATTCCTGTAGTGGAAGGCGCTTCTTTCATGAACTATCTAACGCCTCTTAAATAAATTTCTGAAACTAAACCAGGAGGTTTTCTCAACATTGCCTCTTGTCAGCTTTCTTATATCTTCTGGGGATCTGAAGTCGGGCCGGCGTCGGACGATTTTCTTCGAGTATGGCTTGAACGATTTTTCACACATCGGGTTCATATAGAATTGCAAACGAAATTCCTGACCGTTTCGCTTGAAAGTGTAGTTTCCTTCTCGGCGGAGGAAAGCAGATTCGAGGTCTCCTTGCTTGGTACCGGACCCATTCTGAAACCAACGACAAAATAGAAACTGAATGACTATCACTAGAGAACGACAACCAGTACTTAACTAACGGCCTATGAAGTCAGCATCACTTTGTATCAGCTTCATTCAATTCACATTCAATGACCGTATTTAGCAGAGAATTTAACACGTTACAATATCGTGATATAACTAGCCCCTTTGCAATACAGATTCCAATAATTTTCCAACATTTCACAACATTTCATCATTAGAATGAAACCCTTTGGCTTAACGGCTCGTGGAAACGAGTTGAGTTGACATTCAGATGCAGCACAGTAGCTATAAGGATGAAAGCAGTTACCTGTCAACATTCAAAATATCCTTACTGGTTCTCCAATTATAGGGATACAATATCCGGGAGAATTTGCCTTTTCACTGTGTTTTAAGAGCACCTCCCTACGTACCTTCCTTTCGTGATCATCAGTCGTTCATCAGATTATTTCTATGGTCTGCATTCTTGACTTCATCTTTGTATTTTGATGAGAAATTAAATCTTGCTTATACTGGGAATGACAGGGAAACTTGGACTCTTCCCAAGATCAAAATGTTAGTTCTGCTTACTAATTGTCACTCGCATCTTTCCTCTTTCATTTTTTTTTCGGAGAATTTGTTGGTAGATCAGGCCTAGTTGATAATGTATACTTTAACAATCTCTTGTCTGTTAGACTGTAAAACTAACATAACGAGTAGAAAATGTATTTTGGTCACTTTTGGTAATGTACCCCACATACTGATATCAAGAACAGGTTCTCGTTATCTCAACGCACCTCATCTCCATACTTGACCCAGTCGCCGCTCTCCTCTTTCCTGTACCACAGCCACTGTGTGGCCAGACAGTTGTCCTGTTCTTTTATGTAAGACTGTGTGGACAGTCGTCTTAAATCAGCTCTATGATAGCTCTTCTGCATCGTCATACTCTCAAAGTCCACTTTCACCGCATCTGTTCTACGTGACGATGTATTTCTAGGAATCGCAAAGAGGCTAAGTAAATTAAACATTAATGCGGATGTCAAAAGTCAGAGACTTTACAGTTCACATATACGTTCACAACATATTTAGAAAATTGCATCACAGCGGGCTTGTAAAACCTTTTTTATGCAATCCAAAGAGTAGCCTGTTTTACCCCCGCACTCTCCGGGGAGGGACGGCTGTACGGATGCGAAACGGGCTATCCAAAAAAGGGGAAAATTAAATCCGTGTAGATATTTAACTTTGAGTAAAAATCAGCGCCACCTGTTAGAGGGTCACAGTGTTAAATCGAACTGTACAGCTACGTAATAGAGGCTACGACATATAGAAAAGCAGAGCGCCATTTGCACATAATCACTTTAACTTACGTTTCTCTGTAAGACTTGACTGTCAAGTCTATCTCTGTTGATGTTATGATGTCGTTCTTTGGGTCACAGTACAACTCTTCGATCTTGCGATTGTCTTCATCACTAAAACTTTTCCACCCCTCCAGGGACAGGCGATACTGCCAGTGATAGGGGAGTGGACAGTGGTGAGTGTCACACTTATTTCCTTGCTGACAAATCCCGGTGATGTAATCGATGCAGATGTGAACCTGTGAGCTGTAGTGGATGTGTCCTAAAAATACATAGCAACAAGTATGTTATATTGAATGCTGTAAGGTGGTGACTGCTCAACATTTATTTCCAAACAGTTCACATTTTCATGGTCAGACTC